AAAAAAAAAAAAAAAAAAAAAATCTAAAAAAAAAGCCAACCTGATACACAGTTAGACCCTGTCTCAAAAAGAAACAAAACCAGTAATTTTTGAGAATCAGGAAAGTACGAAGTAAAAACCATCTGCAGGGCCGGGGAGATAGCTCCATAGAATAAGCGCTTGCCTGGCAAGTGCAAGAGCCTGAGTTCAATCCCCTGTTCCACAAAAAAAAAAAAAAAAAAAAATCAAAATCTGCAACCCTACCTACTTAAGATTTGTAGCATTTTAATGGCTACTAGAACCAATTCCCATTTATTTTGTTTCTCTTTCCATTTCCTGAGTCTTCTCCATTTATCCTTCCAGATAAATTTACATTTAAAACCATTTTGAATAACTCTTCCTGTTGTGGGTGTGAATGCTGCACCAGCTGTGGGACAGGTAATTTGCATTAAGTGGAGCAAGAGGCTAGCCAGCTGCCTGGGCTGCAGCCATTCCCTCTGCTCTTGAAAGCACAAAGCTCTGCCCTGTGCTACTCTGCCTTGAACCTACTAATTATGAACAGACACCTCCAATAACTGTGACCTAAATAAAGTTTTCCCTCCTTCATTTTGAGTGTCGGGTATTTGTCCCAGCAATGGGAGAAGAGTAACCAAGACACCTCCCAAATAATGTCAACAGAATTTTCATTTCACATAAATCAAACTGACTAGTAAATACAAACAAGTCGACGTTTTAACATACTTAATTCTTTACATGAGGAATCTAGCCTTTGTAATACAGGTTTGTACAATTGTTAAAAATTATTTCTAGGTATTTTATATTTTGCTGCTAGGAAAATCATCTTTCATATATATGGATTTATGTGTGAGCACTGCATATGCATCTGAATACTGCACATACACAGAGAAGATGTGGATTTCTATTTAACAACTTTTTAAAAGAAACATAATAAATTTTTCTTGAAGCTCTGGTAACTTTTCAGCTGATCCCTTTGTGCTTGCTAGGTGGGTGATCTTTAGTCTTTGCAGTTCACAGAACTAAATTTATGTTTTCTTTACTATTTATTCTCTGTTAGTAAATAATGGATATGCTAGTATTTCCCACCTAATGAGAAGGTCTTTGATATTTTACTATTAAGTGTTAAGGTCCACAACTGGTTTCACACAAAAACTTAGTATGACAAGACATAAAAAATTCATTCATTTGCTAAGATGCATTTAAAATTAGAAACTATTATAATATTACCAACTAATATTCAAATGGTAGGCACTGGACACTCCATGAAATACTATCAGGTAGGCCTCACACCTGAGATTATTAATTCTCTTTTACAGATAAGGAACTGGAACCTAAGGAACCTAATGGTCCAACCAAGGTCACATTACCAAAGATTTGTTTAAAAGCAGTGTGATTCCAGACTCAACACTAAATCCCCATACAAAAGTGTGTCACTAAAAGGCGGCAGGATGCTTCTAGCGTGTCAATCCAGATGATAGTACTCTTTCCTTCTCTGATATATTAACACTGTATAAATGTATTTCTAAAGTCAGAAGAAAAGTCACTGTTCTTTCCTAGAGAATGTAACATGAAATTGCGTTAAAAATTTAGGGACTGTTGTATAATCTCTACTACACTTATAATTAACATACAAAATTCTAGTGATAGAAATTTAGATGGTTTTAATCACAGCTATTTAGATGAGCATGTACCCTGAGCTGGAAAAACAAACAAATAAAATAGTTTTAAAGTTAGCAGTAAGACAGAGGTGAACTCATGTAAAGTTACTACTGGAAAGTGAAAGTAGTTATCTGCATTTTTATAAAGCTTTTCTACAAATGAGAAATGCCTTGAGCAATATAAAAAAGGCACAACTACAACTGTTAGAATTATTTCCACCAAGAAATAATGAATACAATCAAACAGATGGCAAGTGCTGTCTGATACTTTTCTTCCCCCCATTTATGTATTTTGTATAAGGTCTCAGCTTGGACTCAGAGTGATCCTCCTGTTTTTTAGCCTCCCCAGCACTGGTATTACAGGCATGCGCCACCACGCCCAGATTCAGTGTCATCTTAAGCCAAAATATAAAATTCTAAATGTCACAATAATCTATAACCTAGAACATACAAAGAACTAAAAAACAAAAAAACAACAATAACAAAAAAAAATAATAATAATTCAGGCCTCCAAAATTCAAAGATCCAACCCAAAAATGGGCATCTGAGATGAATATACACTTCACAAATGAAGAGATATAAATGGCAAATAAATATATGAAAAAATGTTCAACATCATTGGTCATTAAGAGATGCAAATTAAAACAACACTGAGATACCATCTTATGCCAGAAAGAATGGTTATCATCAAGAAGTCAACCAATAACAAATACCAGAAAGGCTGTGGGGAAAAAGGAGCCCTACTCCACTGCTGGTGGGAGTGCAGGCTGGTACAACCATTATGGAAGTCAGTATGGAGATTCCTCAAAAAGCTAGGATTGGAGGTCCCAATCAGGCTATTACCCTCGTAGGTGCTTTTCCAAAAGAAGTGAAATTACCATACCACAAAGATATATGTGCACCCATGTTTATAGCAGCACAATTTGTCCTAGCTAAATCTTGGAAACAACCAAAATGCCTATCAACTGAGGAATGGATTAAAAATATATGGTATTTTTACACAATAGAGTATTATTCAGCTATAGAAAACATAAATTCAAGGCTTTTGTAGATAAATGGATACAGCTAAGACTATATTGGTAAGTGAAATAAATCAGATCCACATGTGCAAACACTGTATTATCCTGTTAGTGTGAGAACCTGAAAGAGTAATGAAAATCTAAAAGGTACAACAGATACTATAAAAAAGAAAGAAATTGTTCAATGGGAAGCAAAAACTGGGATGAGGAAAAGGACAAATGAAAGAAGGGAAAAAGATATATTTAGGTAGATACACAAGATTGTTTGGATAATTGTATTGTCGATTTCTACTGGTTCTTTGAAAGAAGCAATTAATGTTTAAATTTTTTTTAACTGTGATTTTTTTTCTTTTTGAATTTCTTATAACTTCTTTGTTAATGTTTTGTTTTGTTTTCTTTAAACGAATCTTACACATTTTTATCAATTTGACGATAGCATCAGGTAATACAGCAACCATTGCTGAATTTCCATTACTTTGTTTAGTGAAATCTTATATTGTTTCTAATGCTGTATTTTTTTCTCTCACTATTTTGTATTCTTTTAAAAAAAAACAAAACCTCTACCATAGTAAATTTAGCATTATATAATGAATAACTTATCACTGATGCAATTTGGTCAGGAGTTGAGGGGACCAGTTAAATTCCATCTCTGTTTCATGTTAAAATAACATGTGATACGTTTATATGACATTTCAAAATTGATTGCTCTTTTTTTGGTAATATAAAGGGTCTAAAGTATCTCCCCCAGAAAATTTTGCTATTCCTATATTCTAAGTATATTTTAACAACTAGTTTGATGACAACACTACGCAATACAACAAATACTATAAAATTCATATTACTTTGTTTAGTGAAATTCTATATCTAAGTATACTGGAACACATAAATAATCTACAAATTAATACATGTGCCAATTTTTCTAGTCACATATGTGTTACATATCACAATTAAAATAGAATGTACTGGGCCGGGGAGATGGCTCAGTAGTATAAGCACTTCCCTGGCAAGCACAAGGGCCTGAGTTCAATCCCCAGTTCCAAAAAAAAAAAAAAGAATGTACCAACAACACTATCATGTAAAATAATAACAACAGTAACAAAACAAGAGCCTCCATGATACTGCACTGTGTTTAAACTAATACACTAATTAGTATAGAATACACCATTGCACAAAAAGCAATGCTGAATTATGTTATATAAAAATAACAAATGCTAATTTTTTTTCTTCACAATCCCAATGAGGTGAATGAATATACATTATTATTTTCACTTTACAGATGAAAAAATTAAAGCTATGAAAGCGTTGTTCATTGCCATCAAGCTGGGTAATGCAAGCAAGATAAGCCAGGGTCCAACTGATATCCATGACACAACACTGTTATTATCTTACACAGAATCAGAATACTACACTATCAAACTACCTTTACCGTAAGGAATTTGCATCAGGCACAAGACAACACTTTTCACTTACTCTAAAACTTCAGATAAATGGACTATAACATGGTTTTAGAAAGTCTTCTAGCAGCTAGAACTCTATTAAAAATGTTACTGCCAACCTCTAGTAGTGAAGTAATATTTAACCATTTAGTTGAGATTAACAAATCTTATCTGTCAAGACAGATTTTAACAGACAAATACTGCTAACTTACAAAGCACGAAGGACATTACTTATAGGTTCAGCTTTGTTTCTCTTCAGAAAACTTATCCTGCAAAAGTTGTATCTACCTACCTTCCCACTCTCTGTTTGGACTCTTGGAAGTGCCACATGGACTAGTAGAACTTCTACATTCCAAATCTATCTGTTCTTGCCTCTGCCGCTGTTCCTCCAGGAGTGCCGACTCATGCATTGCCTTAATGTGACGCTGGTAGAGAGCGTAGCCACTTACAGGGGTTCCAATTGGTATACTACATGGGGTACAGGAAACCTACAGAAAGAAAACAACCTAAATATGCTAATGACCAATGTAGCTATACCATATTTGACAAGTAAATTTCTGTCATATTACTGGTTAAATTGATTTTCCCATAATTTTAGTATATATGCTGTCAAAGTGCTCACTGATTTTCTCAAGTTTTTTTAAAAAACTCTTCAATATTATCTTTAAAATGCAAGATAGATATGTTTGGAATTAAGTACAGTACACATCTTTGATAACTCACCTCCTCCTTGTGTCATCACCGTGGGCAGCCACCAGCTGACCACTGGCTGACTGGCAATATCTACACTCCACTACCATAATACCCTGTCCATTCCCTTCCCTACTGAGAACAGTGGTGTGAGTGGGAGCCTGCCAAAGCCATGCCCTAACCTGAGTACTGGACCCTAGCTCAGTGGTTGCACTCATTTCCTAGACAAAACGAACTAAGCCCATATGTTCAGTGCCTATGGAGTACAAAGGAAGAGGTTTTAGCCCTCCTAAAAATGGAGCACTCTGATACCCATGCCTTTATGTACTTACTGAAAGAAAATGAATTTACTATGCAATAAGCAGAAATCACTGAATCAAGGTCATGGAATTCAATATGTATATTGTCTACAAGCTCATGATCACCAAGATGAAGCATAAGATTACTCTTCAGCAAATAATGTGTAGGATTTCTGATGTATAAAAGTACACAATTATTTTGGAGAAGAGCAAATTTTCAGTCCTTAATAGAAAATGAGAAAACTTGAACTATATTAATTAAAACAAGTAACAGATGAAATGAATTAAGAAATATATATCCATAAAGGTCTCGATAAATCAGATGTGGTGGCACATTGAGAAACCGAGGCAGGATGATTTCAAGTTCAAGCCCAGTCTGACTGACTGACTGAGACCCAGCCTCAAAAAATAAAAAAAGGGCTGGGGATATAGCTCAGCACTGAGAACCTGAGAATCTCTAAATCACATTGAAACCTTACCATTGGTGGAATAATGGCAGCTCGATGCTGAAGCTGTGGTAGGTCCAATGGGCTTGCTTTCACTGGGGATGAGACTAGTATAGATCCAGTCGGGTTTAACAATGAAGGCTTTGGATCCATTGGAAACATTCTACCACTGGAAGTATACATAGAAGACATAGGAATATATTTTTATTTAAGACTTCAAACATGCAATCAACATAATTCTAAGTTAATACATACACATATACATATATAGCTGTCATATTAACTCTTGAAAGATCAAAACAGGGCTTGGGGTTTAGCTCAGTGATAAGAGTACTTGTCTACTATGCACAAGACCCTAAGTAGATTCTTGGCACCAAGCTAAATAAATAACACATTTAGAAATTGAGAAAAAAAGAACATACAAAGCCATTTTTTCAGATAAAGAAACCTACTAATTTGTCACTAAAATTAGTTACTTCCTATCAAATGTTCAGCTGGAATCACAGGTTATAACTCATTGCCATTTTATAATTGAGAATTTTACTCAAATTCCCAGTCTACTGGTTTTTCATGGAAAATGGAAAAAACCAGCAAGCCAGAACCGGCATTCACATATGCATGTAGTACTCTGCTCACACAATCACTCACAGCCATCTCACATTATCTGCTTCTCTTAGTTTCAATACTACACCTGAACTTAGGATGTTTCACATATAAACTTTGGAGAAGTATATAATGGTATACTCTTTTATTATTTGGTCCTATTCCCAGAGAGAAAGTGAATATTTTATTTATTTTTTGAAAGAAGGTCTCGCTACATAGTTCAGGTTGTTCTCAAGCTCATCTTCCCATGCTGGCCTCAATTCATGGCAATCTTCCTGCCAGGCATGCATCAACATATCCAGCTTGGAAAGTGAATATTTTAAAGCATATAAATTAGTAAGAAGGACCGGTGAGATAACTCAGTGGACTAAGCGCCTGCTTAGGCAAGTGCAGGGATGAAGATTCGATCCCTGGCACTACATGCCCCACCAGCCCCAGCACTGGCCCCAAGTGTGCTGAGCCAGCCACCAAGACCAGGAGTGGTAGCACAGACCTATAATCCCAGCACTGGAAAGGCTGAGACAGGAGGATCACTATGAGTTGGAGCTGCATAGTGAGACTCTATACCAAATAAATAATAAAATAAAATAATTAGTAAGAAAAAATTAGTAAGAAAAGTAGGCTGTATAGAAGAAAATAATTTACATATGGTATTAAAAGATGATACTAAAGATGTAGAAAACCGTAAGTGTTGACACTCTCGAAATGCCAGAGGCTTCAGGAAACCATTGTGAAAGGACCATGTTTTTAAAAGGAATTTTGTTATTTTTTTGAGGCCTGAAAATCTGACTCAGAGCCCTGTACACGCTAAGCAAGGGTTCTAGAGCTACATTCCCAGCCTTTCAAGAAATTTTGACTTTTTGTTTCTTTCTTAGGATAGCCATCCTCTCAGATTGCTCTTTGCTGATTCTTCTTCTTATATAATCATCAAAACCAATTAGTGCAAAAGATCTTACTGTGTGTGTGTGTGTGTGTGTGTGGTGTGTGTGCGTGGGGGCAGGGGTGTACCAGGGATCAAACTCGGGACCTTGTGCTTGCTAGGCAGGTATTTGTGCCACTGAGCTATTTCCCTAGCCCCAAAGGAACTTATTTAAGATGATATAGTTTATTAAAGAATGCTTTTTAAAAAACCACATGGGTTGAATCCATTTATATTTACTACACTTAAAGGCTGGGACTACTGAATTGCCTGTCATCAAAGATGGCATAAGATGGCATATTTCCTTAATCCTAGCTACTTAGAAGGCTGAAGCAATAAAGGCCATACTTCCAGACCAGCCTAGGTAGCTTTCCAAGACCCTATCTCAAAATTTAAAAAAATTTTAAATGCCTGGAAATCTAGCTCAGTGGGAAAGTGCTTGACTAGTATATATGAGGCCTTTGGTTCAAACCCCAGCACACACACATGTACATACAACAGTAGCCTGTGATGTTTTTTATCTGCTTAAATAACCAAGAGCAATTTTTATAGTATGTGCTATATATTTTATATCTTAATATCTAATATCTAGAATGAAATTTGGAACTAAAACAATAATATTGAATATAACAGTGCTGGTGCCTCAAGAGGATTTTAGATTTCTATGTAATAGCTCCTCGAATTTTCATCAATAGGAATTAAAATAGGGATTCTTCCTAATCATTGGTTCACCAGGAATTCAGCTATCTGATGATTATTTTTCCATCATCTCAGAATAATCTAGATTTTATTTTAACTTTTTATTTGGTCTGTACCTAGTATGGCAGTATACCCCTCTAATCCCAGCACTTGGGAGGCTGAGACAGAAGGATTGCTACAAGTTTAAAGCTAATCTGGGCGGGGCTGGAGAGATGGCTCAGTGGTCTAAAGCACCTACTT